CACAAGGCTTAAAAGTAAGTACTCACATCCCTAACGCATGCTTGATCGAAATCGGAGAAAAAGATTAAAACTTGCATAAACGAGAAGTCACCGGAAAAAGTCGCCGGAAAGTGTAAATAGCATCCACCTTGCTCTAGAGAGAAAATAAAAGACTTAAGCTAAGAAACAAAAAGGGAAACATTTCATAATGAGCTAGATGTCTCTAAAATGCAAAGGCCAAAAAGTATTTATACTCCAATAAAAACACATACTAAAACGCATCTAAATATCACACTCCCGAGCTCGCGGAGGGGGGCGCGAGCACGCGAGTGCGCGAGACGCTGGGAACGGGCCACTCTCGACCGCGCGAGCTGATTGGCGAGCGCGCGGGTGCGCTGGGCTAGAACGTCGACGCTCTCGACCGCGCGGGTGGACTGGCGAGCGCACGAGTGTGCTGGGAAGGGGCGCTCTCGACCGCGCGGGTTGCATCGCGAGCACGCGAGTGCGCGAGGTGCTGGGGCGGTGAAACTCGCGACCACGCAGAGAGGGACGCGAGCACGCGAGTGTACTGAAACGGGCGATGCATCCTCGACGTCGCGGGCGGTGTGGCGAGCTCGCGAGTGCGTGTTGGGCAGTGCTCTCTATCGCGCGGGTGAACGTGCGAGCTCGCGAGCTCGCAAGTGCGTTGGACTGGGCGATGGACTCGCGATCGCGGATGAACGTGCGAGCTCGCGGCATGTGCTGGGCGACATCGGAATACGGTATCGACTACGGCTTCAATTTCTCGGTTCGAACATACTCGCATGAAATGGCTTGAAACTACTCGGAAACTCGACTCTTACGGGAAATGCTCATTGCTTGGAACGTGACTCGACTCTCTCGGAACATGGCTCGACTCTCCATCTCTATCCCGGAATAAACCTGAAATTCATAGCAAAAGTACGGGAAAGTACGCCAAAATATGAAACAAACAACAAAACATAAAAACACACGATAAGCGCCAAAATGGATCGGTCGACACTAAAATAAGCCTAGAATCAACTCGAAAGCACACACAATCATATAAAAATAAACACAAAAACACAATAAACAACAAACGAAGCGAAACAACGTGAAGTCATAGATAAAAGGAAAGACTAGGTCAGAGAAAAGAAATGAAATAACATTAGCTATGTGAAGTCAGTTACTGCTGGAAAGGAACCCTATAATGGTGGTACCATATATGTATTCGGTGATTATTAAAATGACTTAGTTAATTAATATTTTATCAAACATTGGAAAAAATTCTAAACTTTTTAATCTATTAATTCGTATAAAAAGTACAGCTTTATCAAATATATTACATTACATTTAATTTTATGTGATTATATTAATTGTAACCTAATAAATAAGATAATTTGATAACATCATTATATAAAACACATAAGAAAAATACCGTAATACGTATAAATGTGCTTTAATTACTTAGCAAATAAAATATTATTTGTCTATAGAATAAGAAACAAATAATATAATAGTAATGCAATGAGAAAAAGAAAACGTGCTAATTTTCATAGAAAAGTATGAATACCAATATTTACAAACAAAAAGTCTTTTAAAATTACTACTTTTTTTGTTGCTAGCGTTTAAATATATGGACTCTGTAAGAAATTGGTTCTCATAAATAATGATCATATATTATTTATTTTTAATTTTAAATAATTAAAAAATCCAAAAAATTGTATACATGATGTATATTTTAATCATGACTCCATAATAATAAACTTTACAGATGACTAAAAGTATCGTCCTATAATGAAATTCTAATTCTTCTGCTGTCAAATATTTTAACAAATGATATGCTTGTCAATATTTTCTCATTGCTTTGTTTTGTTTTGTTTTGTTTTATCATTGCAAATAATAGATTATATTATTCGTCTATATTCTAAATAAATAACACTGAAAATGAAATGTATGAGTATCAAAACAGTTTTGAATGTTAGAATGAAGTTGTCATTTCTTATAGAAATATTTATAATCTCATTGGTGTATTGCGCTTGAGCATATGTGCAATTACTTTAGAGGTACTTTCAGGTAATGTATAGTGATTTCAAAAAACAATTTACCATCTCGGGAGAAGTACATGTAACCCAGATTTTGGAAAGTCAACTTTTATTTGGAGATAAAATTTATTCCCACCTCGTGGGGCGATGCATCAATAGGGTAGACACCAATATATCTAGAGACAGAGGAATGTAAAATTAATTAAGAGGAATTAGTAGTTTATACAGTGATAAAAATATCAACAATTTTATGACACCGTTAGTTATTTCATAGAGATATTTATCCTTTGTTAGTAGAAGTACCTTGTTATAAAGATCATGCGATCATGAAATTTGACTATATGTTGGGTCAGAATATTTCTTAAGTGTTTGAATAAAATTGGCGTATTCCCAAATTAATTAAGAGAAATTTTCCAATATTATTGATATATTGGACTCCAACGACTATGAATGTTCTTATGAGAACGTCAAAACCAAAATGAATGAAAATCTTTGTGTTTTTTTATTAGGGATTTGTTTTTTATATATATTTTGTTGGGGGTTGTAAAATGTTATTTCACTCTTTTTATATGAGGACATCATTACGTTAATTCTAAATTAAAAAAAAATCACATATGAGTTCATTTTTCTATAATTTACTTCATTTCTGCAATGATATGTTTAATAAATTAATTAATTTATTTTGCAAACTTACTTTGCGAATATCATTCGACACCACGTACATCGCACGTGCACTTTACTAGTAATATATAAAAAAAAACAAATCAATATCTATTTCTAGACTTAAGCTTGCTTCGACGTGCAATGTATTGTCGTAAGGTTTATTCAATATACTGTATATCCCAGACCCGTTAAGAAACTAACTTTTCACATCAATTTATCCACCCCAGTTTCATCCCCTGCTTCTCTTTCCTTCTGCAAAATGACCTACAAAGGAAGCACAATTTCACAATTTATAATCAAGAGAAACAATTAAATAAAGATTTAATGTCGCACGACTAGCAAGTCGAGTATATATATAATACTTCGTTATTTGGAACTCCATGGCACCCTCTGCGGCGCGTCTAAGAAGCTTTTCCCTTGCCTCAACTGCGATTCCTTCTGGCTGCAATTGTGTAAACGAAGTTACGAGCTGAATATTTTCTATTCGGCATATTAATTTATGTATGTTCACGTAATATAAAATTTAATACCTCTTCAGGATACCAAACTCCAGGCTTTGTGCTTCCCTCAAGAACAGCTAGAACAAATGCAGCAGTTGCAGTCCCAGCAGCTCTATAAACACATCATTTTTTTTAACAAAGTATTATTATTTATCTTTTTTTTTTTTAATCAATTTACTTAAATCTTGGATGAGCTTGCTTAATTAATTGTTCTTAGTCATTGCGGCCGAAAATTGTTATGAAGTCAATAAATGGCGAACACTTACTCGGCTAGTCTTTGGTGGCTGAAAATTGCCGATGTATTGTATCCATCCGAACACTCTAGATCGACCTAAGAGAGATAAAAAATAAGGCAAGGCTATGTTGTAACATTCGTCATTAGTACGGATTAATTCAGAAACTATAATGTGCGCTTCAGTTGCCAAAACTTACTCTGATTGCAGCTTTCTCCCCAGATATTACATCCACCGCACGTATAAATGGGTATGCAAATTTCGACAAGAATTGAACTATTCGCCTGTCCTTCAAAATCTCCTTCAGATCGAGATCAAAAGGCGTGCATGATTATTATATAATTATCATTATAATCAGTGTAAGCGTGATTTTTCGCAGATGGCTTACAACAGGCAAGAGTTTCATGACGGCCAAAAGTGTCCAGTTCCAAAAGAAAGGCGCTGTCCCGAACCGTGCATCGATTGTTGGTACTCCAAATACCCTACGTGCGCTAGCCACTTCCGGCACATTCCTACAAAAACATTTTTTTGTTAATATTTTTTTTCTTTGTCATATATATAGGTTTGTGTTGAAAGGTGAAAAGGTGTATAGAGAATGATATATACAATAGAAAAACATCTCTTTCGCCAATCCCTTCTCCGAAGCTAACACTACGCTTATCGCTGTACGGCTTCAGTTTCTTCTCCTCTCCTGAAAACAAAAAGAACATAAGAAAAATGGGTCAACATTAAAGAGAATGCTAGAATTCGAAATCCACATATAGTCCAAAGTTGTTATATATTAGAAGAACCTTGATGGTACGTCACAGCCTCATCTGCAAGAAGATAGAAGGTAGTCGACAGCACCCCGGGACCTGTTCCCCCGCTGCCACTAGTGAAATAGTTGTACCTTTGGGTGCAACATTACATTGCATGCGTCGTAAAAACACAAGCACAAATTAACCAAAAGGAAAGGAGAA